TCCGGTAGCCTAGTCGTAGCCACGTATTCCAGTCGCCCGTGGGTCCGTTGCTCGTCTGCCGCTAATTTTAGCCGCGGGGCTAGTTACTCCAGTAGTCCGGAGTGCTGTTCCGGTAGCCGCTGTGCCAGTGTGCCTCCTGTTGCCCGTGTGTCTGCAGCTTCAGCCATCGCCTCCTATCTCCTCTCCTCTCACTGTTCCTCCTCCTCACTTGCCCGTTGTGACTACCACTAGCTTTGCTCATAATTGTGAACTTTAAACTATTGCTTCTTGAACTTGTGCTCAGAATGTGTGGTGACATTGTGATCCACCCTGAGCTTGTTCTGCTTTGCTTGCTCTGCTGCTTACACCCCACTTTGGCTATGGGGGTGTGTCAGAATGTTATGCTCTAGCCTGTAGTGGGGTGCTCTATAGCGAGTAAAACCCTTCTAGGGTTTGCTATTTGTATCCTCATTCTTGCTAGTGCAACCCCCTCTTTTGCCTAAACTTTCTCTTGCCTAGCTTCGGCTTTCCTAGCTATGGCTCCTACTTCTGCCTATTACTTCCACAGGTGGACCCGAAAAAAAAACGGTCCTACGGACCTAGTGCTCTGAAACCATGTAAGAATCTAGCAGCAGGACTGAGTGCATTGAACAGAGATGTGGTTACATATGCTAACCCTCATTTGGGTTGTACCCCTTATGGGCTACCCCACTACAGCCTACACAGCACAAGCATAGCTGCCGGCCTGCCCCAGACCGCCTCACTTGCCTGGTAAGTGCAACGCCTCTGCCAGTGCACTGCCCTACCCCGCTGTGCTCACTGCCTGTCTAGTGCTGTCATGGCCACCCCCAGTGTTCTCACCTTTGACGCTGAGGGTTGGGCGGTTGACTTTGAGGTCTGGGTAGATGATCTGCAGCTTTTCCTACAGTGCGATAGGGCAGACGGTCTCTCCCTGTTTAACCTCACTTCTGGTGCCTCTCCTGCCCCTGCTGCTAATGCTGACGCCACTGTTTGCTCACATTGAGCCACGCTTGATGCTACTACCTGCCTTGCTGTGCGCCGCCACTTACCGACCACTGAGCACGCGCATTTTAGTAAGTACAAGAGTGCTAAGACCTTGTACGACGCTGTACTTGCACGCTACTCTTCCCCTGCCACTGCTGCTCTTAGCCGCCTCATACTTCCGTTCCTCTTCCTTGACCTCACCGCTTTTCCCACAGTCGCTGACGTCATTACACACCTTCGCACTAGTGACATTCGCTACCGCGCTGCGCTTCCCGCTGAATTCTGCGCCAAGAACCCCCCCCCCCTATGTACATCACCCTCTACTACATAGTCACTCGGCTCCTTGACATCCTTCGCTCGGTCAGGGACCACTTCCTCTCTGTTTGCCCCACCACTCTCACCGTTGACCTCCTCGAAGAGCGCCTCCTAGCAGTAGAGAAGAGCATAGTCGCTGTAGGAGCCTCTCGTGGTGACCCTCGTACCCCAGTCTTTGAGGGGTGCTCCCCCTCCCCCCTCTTGCCCTCTGTTGCCTCTGCTGCTGCGGCCGACCTCGTTGGTCTTGAGCCGGTCGGCGCGGCGTCTGCCCCTAGCGGGAGACGCCGCTCACGCAAGGGCAAGGGGGGCAAGGGCGCTAGAGGAGCTGGCGGGGGCAGTGGAGGCGGCGGTGGAGGCGGCGGAGGGGGTGGGGGTGGCGGTGGGAGTGGTGGCGGGGGTGGGGGCGCTAGTGGCGGCAGTGGAGGCGGAGGAGGCGGCGGTGGTGGCGGTGCGGGCGGAGGTGGCGGAGGTGGAGGCGGCGCTACAGAAAGGGTCGGCTCCGGTAGTGGTCAGCGCCAGCAGCAGCAGCAGCAGCGCACTCGTGAGACCCCTTCCCCCCAACAGCTTCGTGAGTGGTACACTGCTCGTCAGCGGGGTGGGGGTGCTGGCCCCTGTACCTACGTTCTACGTACCGGCGACCGCGCGGGTGAGCAGTGTGAGGGTCCGCACTCCAACCAGCGCTGCTTCAACCGCCTGACGGACGCTTGGCGTCATCAGTTCCCTGACGCTACTGAGATCCTCTCGCTAGGGCGAGCTGTTTAGGGCGGGTGTTCCGATCTTTGATCTTGACTATGATGCTATTCTTGCTGCCATGTATGCTGTGACTATTAGTGATGAGGATGACTGTGACCGGTGTTTTCCGCCTGACCCGGGCATTGAGGGTGCTGCTCTAGGTACTACTGAGGCTCCTGCTCTAGGTGCCAGTGAGCCTGCTGCCCCAGGTGCTGGTGAGTCTGCGCTCTCAGGTACCGCGTCGGCTCCGGCCACCCACACCTTCACCCTTGACTCGGGTGCTTCCCGCTCCTTTTTTGGAGACCGCACCACGCTTACTGCCGCTTAGTCGGCCAGTGGCAGTCTCCCTGGCAAACCCCTCCGGGGGTCCTGTCCTTGCCCACTTCTCCACTGTTCTACCATGTCCAGCGGCTCCTTCTGGCACCCTGTCGGGTCTTTACCTCCCTTCATTCTCTACGAACTTGGTGAATGGTGCTGACCTTCAGAATGGAGGGGTTCACCAGTTCACTCCTGAGAGTCAGCGAGTTACCCACTGTACTTGTGCTCGGACGGGCCGTCACTTGGCCACGTTTACCTGTCAGCCGGGTCGAGCCTGTACACACTGACTTTTGAGTCTCCTCCGGTCGCTGAGTCTGCTCAGGTAGCCACGTCGGGTCAGGTGTTTGCTGCGGCGTCCAGGTCTGGTCCTGAGTCTGCCCCCTGTTCGTGTCGTCTCCTGTCTCACCTGACTCTCCTCTTGCACCACCGCCTTGGTCACCCCTCCCTCCCTCGTCTTCGAGGCATGGTCTCCCGTGTCCTTATCTCTGGTCTCCCCCGGTCCCTCCTTCCCCTTCCTCCGGGGCCTGCCCCCACCTGCGTTCCCTGCGTCGAGGGGCGGCAGCGTGCTGCTCCTCATTCCTCCGAGTTTCCTGCCGACAGAGGCTCCGCTGCAGACGCTTCACATGGACGTGTGGGGCCGAGCCCGCGTCCGTGGATAGGGTCACGAGCGGTACTTCCTGCTGGTGGTTGACGACTACTCGCGTTACACCGCAGTCTTCCCCTTGCGTAGCAAGGGTGAGGTCACTGAGGTGTTGATCGCCTCGATCCGCGCAGCTCGTCTCCAGCTCAGAGAGAGTTTCAGCTCGGACTTTCCTGTTCTGCGTTTGCACTCTGACAGAGGCGGAGAGTTCTCCTCTAACCTTCTACGAGCCTTCTGTCGTGCACAGGGCATCCGCCAGACCTTCACGCTTCCGGACGCTCCGCAGCAAAATGGGATTGCTGAGCGCTGCATTGGCATGGTCATGGACCTTCGCTCGTACGTCCATGGTCCATGCGGATGCCCCCCATTTTCTGTGGCCGTTTGCGGTTCGGTACGCGGCGCATCAGATCAACCTTCTGCCCCGGGTCTCCATGCCGGAGACCTCCCCTGCTTTGCTGTGGACGGGGAAGGTTGGCGATGCATCTGCAGTTCTGTGTCTGGGGATCTTGGGCGTTTGTCCGCGACTTGTCTTCGGACAAGCTGTCCCCTCGTGCTGTTCCCTGCGTCTTCCTTGGCTTCCCCCCTGACGCGCCGGGCTGGCAGTTCTACCACCCCACCTCACGCCGTGTTCTGTCCTCCCAGGACGTCACGTTTCACGAGTCGGTTCCCTACTAACGTCTCTTCCCCTACCGCACTGCGTCCCTCCCCCCCCCCCCCCCGTCGCTCTTCCTTACGCCAGGTCCCCCTTCGGTAGACCCCCTCCCCCCTCAGGGTCCTGCCCCCTCAGGTGTGTCTCAGGTAGACGCAGTCAACCCTGTCGAGGTAGCTGTTGACTCTGGTGCTGCTAGGGGTGCTGAGCTGCGGGTGCTGGGTCTGGGGGTGCTGACTCTGGGGGTGCTGAGCCTGGGGGTGCTGACTCTGGGGGTGCTGCGCCTGGGGGTGCTGAGCCTGGGGGTGCTTCGTCTGGGGGTGCTGAGCCTGGGGGTGCTGCGTCTGGGGGTGCGGAGTCTGAGGGTACTGGACCTGCTCGTGTGGCGTCTGGCGGTGCTGGGCTTGGAGGTTCTTCGGGTGCTTCGTTCCCGCGAGAGCTACTCTCTCCACAGGAGCTGCGTGAGTGGTTTGCCCGGCGCTGGAGGCGAGGTGCTGGAGCTGGAGGTGCTGCGGATGCTGGAGGTTCTGCTGCTGCTGAGGGTGCTGGTGCCGCGGGTCCCGGAGGTGCTCGTACTGGGAATACTGGAGGTGCTGGGCCTGCGGGTGCTTCTCATACTGGAGCTGGTGGTGCTGCGGGCGTCGGTGCTACTGAGGGTGCTGGAGCTGGACCCGCTGCGTCTTCTGGTGGTCCGGCTGGAGCTTGAGCTGCTGGGGGTGTTGGCGCTAAGGGTGCCTCTGGTGCTGGTGCCTCCGAGGGTACTGGAGTTGGCGCTGCTGGAGCTGGGGGTGCTGCTGGCGCTGGTGCTGTCGTTCAGGGTGCTGATTGTTGAGATACTAAGCATAGGTGGGCTTAGGAGCCTTAGTTTAGTTAGGTTCTTATAGATCGAGTTTAGAGTTGAGGAGAGTGTCGAGAAAGTTGGAAAGGAGAAAAGGGTTGCTTCACTATAGTTTTGCAAGAACATATAGCAAAGGAAACAAAGAAGGTGCACCACCAAACAAAGTTTATAATAGCTACACTAACTACAGCTACAGGCAGTTACAGATATATTCTGACACTCCCCCATAACTGCCTGCAGCAGAAGCTAATGCAGAGACACCCCCTGAAGGGGTACACCAAGCGCAGCAGAAGGAGAGGGCACGTGAGGAGGAGGGACTATATGAGGAGAGGCTGCTAGCGGGTGAAGCTGCTGGCTCCAAGGCGGCTGCTTCTTGGAACCTTCCTCAATCCTCCAACTCCCCCTTCCACACTCCTTGACAACCCTAGCACCTCTCCCCCAGCTCCCCCACACCCTCACACCCACCCCCCCCCCCGAGCGGCAGCTGCAGCAGTGGGAGAGAAAGGAGGAGGAGGGGAAGGGAATCACACACACCCATCACCCCCATACCCGCCACCCCCATAGCCTCCGTTCCACGGCTGCACGCGCAGCAAGGAGACAAAGAAGGGGGGGGGGGGGGGGGGGGGGGGGGGGGGGGCAGGGGCGACAGAGCAGAACAGAGCGCACGAGGGCGCGGGTAGCAGCAGGGCGCACGAGGGCGCGGGCAGCAGGAGAGCGCACGAGGGCACAAACAGACCAGAGCGCACAAGGGCGCGGACAGCAGCAGAGCGGCAATGGGCAGCACAGGCACGGGCAGCAACGGGCGGCAACGGGCAGCACAGGCACGGGCAGCACAGGCACGGGCAGCAACGGGCAGCAACAGGCAGCACAGGCTCGGGCAGCAACGGGCGACAACAGGCAGCACAGGCACGGGCAGCAACGGGCGGCAACGGGCAGCACAGGCACGGGCAGCAACAGGCAGCAACAGGCAGCACAGGCTCGAGCAGCAACGAGCGGCAAGAGGCAGCACAGGCACGGGCAGCAACAGGCGGCAACGGGCAGCACAGGCACGGGCAGCAACAGGCAGCAACGGGCAGCACAGGCACAAGCAGCAACGGGCGGCAATAGGCAGCACAGGCACGGGCAGCAACAGGCAGCACAGGCACGGGCAGCAACGGGCGGCAACAGGCAGCACAGGCACGGGCAGCAACGGGCGGCAACGGGCAGCACAGGCACGGGCAGCAACGGGCGGAAACGGGCAGCACAGGCACGGGCAGCAACGGGCGGCAACGGGCAGCACAGGCACAGGCAACAACGGGCGGCAACAGGCAGCACAGGCACGGGCAGCAACAAGCAGCAACAGGCAGCACAGGCTCGGGCAGCAACGGGCGGCAACAAGCAGCACAGGCACGGGAAACAACGGGCGGCAACGGGCAGCACAAGCACGGGCAGCAACGGGCGGCAACGGGCAGCACAGGCACGGGCAGCAACAGGCAGCAACAGGCAGCACAGGCAGGCAGCCGTACCAAGTCCAGGAGCGGCGGCGCATACAGCTGTAGGGTCGGCACCATGGGCTGCTGTTGGGGCGGCTCGCGGGGTCCAGGGGTGGCTGCTGAGGTCCAGAGCGGCTGCTGAGGTCCACGGGCGGCTGCTCCAGGGGCGGCGCTAGGTGCAAGGTAGGCCCGCGCGCGGCTGCAACGCTGGCGCGGGCGCAGGTGAGACAGAGGCGGTGGCCAGGGGGGAGGGCGCCGCGACGAGTAGGAACGGCGTCCCAGGAGTGCCACTACGAGTGGGGGCGACGCCCCAAGGGCGCCGCGACGAGCAGGAGCGGCGTCCAAGGGGCGCCGCGACGAGCAGTGGCGACACCCCGCGGGTCCCGCAGTGGCGTCACGACAAGCAAGGCGACGCCATGCGGGTGCTGCAGAGGCGTCGCGACGAGCAGGAGCGGCGACACCTGGGTCCCGCAGGTGCGTCCCGACGAGCAGGAGCGGCGCCTCGCAGAGCGCCGCGAAGTGGAGGGTACGGGCGGGCAAGACAGGCCCGCGCGTGGACGTGAGGCAGGCGCGCAGGCGGCGTGAGGGCAGGCCACGTGCGGGGCAGGAAGACGCCGTGCGCCCCGAGCACACGGCGGGCAGAAAAATCGCCGTGCGCCAAATACGCCGCGCGCCCGAGGCGCGCGGCAGGACGATAGGTAGCGGAAGCAGAAAGGCAGCGGGAGGACGATACCTGCTCTGAATACCATGTTGAGATACTAAGCATAGGTGGGCTTAGTAGCCATAGTTTAGTTAGGTTCTTAGAGATCGAGTTTAGAGTTGAGAGTGTCGAGAAAGTTGGAAAGGAGAAAGGGATGGCTTCACTATAGGTTTGCAAGAACATATAGCAAAGGAAACAAAGAAGGTGCACCACCAAACAAAGTTAATAATAACTACACAGACTACAGCTACAGGCAGTTACAGATATATTCTGACACTGGTGCTGTCTCTTCTGGTGCTGGTGGTGCTGAGCGGCCGCGGCCGTACTTGGTTCCGCTCCTTGAGCAGGTTCTTGGTCTTCCGCCCTCTGCTAGTCCGGCTCCTCCCTTAGAGTGTCCACCGCCGTGTCCCGTCTGAGTCACAGTTACAGCCTACCTCTCCTCTACCTGCTCCTTCTCCCTACACTGGTCCTACTGGAGGTCTTGCTGAGCGTCGTGAGCCTGTGTCTCGTCCTGCGTCGCCTGTCCATGCTGCTCGCACTAGTAGTCATGGTTCGCGTCAGCGTCCTCCCCCTGTCCCGGGCACGCACCGGATGTCTCTAGCGTCCCTCCACTACTCCGCTACGTGCCCCTTTGCCTTCTCCTCCTGAGTCCTCTCTTCCTGTTCGTGCTGACCCGGAGTCGGACTCACTTCGTGCTGCCAGTCCTACTGTCACGAGTCTCCCTGCTACGATCATCACTGACCCTTCCTTTGAGTCCACTGCTGCGTCTGCCTTAGTTTCAGACCTTCTCTCCCAGCCCGAAGACGACCACTCTTCGGATGCTGCTGCACATAGCCGCTCAGCGGGACTATGAGCTTCACTCTCTTGACTTCAGCACTGCTTTCTTACAGGGCAGCCTGCACGAGTAGATCTGGCTGCGCCGCCCTCCTGGCTTTACTAGGTTGTTCCCTCGTAGTACCCAGTGGAGCCTCCAGCGGCCGGTCTACGGTCTCCGCCAGGCGCCCCCTTGAGTGGCATGACACACGGAGGACGACACTTGCGGCTCTTGGGTTCGCGCCTTCTACTGCTGACGCGTCGCTGTTTCTGCGCACCGACACTTCGCTGCCGCCGTTCTACATCCTCGTGTACGTCGACGACTTGGTCTTTGCCACAGCTGACACTGCTGGACTCGCCCACGTGAAATCCGAGCTGCAGAAGAGACACACATGCACAGATCCTGACTCAGTCACACATGGTGCAGCAGGTCCTTCAGCGCTTCGGCTTCACGTACTCCTCCCCTCAGGCCACTCCTCTGTCTACTCGCCACTCGCTCTCAGCTCTGCCTTCGGATGAGTCCGTAGAGTTGAGTGGCCCGTACCCAGAGCTTGTTGGCTGCCTCATGTACCTGATGACCTGCACTCGACCTGACCTTGCATACCCTCTTAGCATTCTGGCACGCTATGTTGCTCCTCGGAGACACAGACCAGAGCACATGGCTGCAGCAAAGAGGGTGTTGCGCTACTTGTGCAGTACGTCGGGCATGGGGCTAGTGCTTGGAGGGCGGAGTCCAGTGGTCCTCACTGGTCACTCAGACGCTTCTTGGGCTGACGACCAGGCTACGCAGCGGTCGTCACAGGGTTACACCTTCAGCCTTGGCTCCAGCTCTGTTTCGTGGCGGTCTACCCGCTCGTCTTCTGTTCTCGGCTCCAGTTGTGAGGCTGAGATCTACGCTGGGGCCATGGCTGCACACGAGCTACGCTGGCTCACCTACCTGCTGACTGACCTAGGAGAGCCGCCTCGTTCTCCTCCAGTTCTGTACGTAGACAACAAGGCTATGCTAGCATTGTGTCGGGAGCACAGACTGGAGCACAGAACAAAGCACATCGCTCTTCGTTACTTCCTTGCTCGTGAGGTGCAGTAGTGTGGTCAGCTGCGTCTTGCTTACGTGGCCTCTGAGGCCAACACTGCTGATATCTTCACCAAGGCACTTGCGCCTTGTGACCATCAGCGCTTCTGTACTCTGTTAGGTCTTGTCTCACTTGCTCACTTCTTGACCTTGCTTGTACTGTTACATATATATATACCTGCTCTTGCTTGTTTAGCGTTATATATATGTGTGTACTCATGCATGTGAACTGGCCTTGTGGCCTTGAACTTGTGCTCGGAATGTGTGGTGACGTTGTGATCCACCCTGAGCTTGCTTTGCCTTGCTTTGCTTGACTGGTCTTGTGACCCCTTGTTCTCCCCCACTTTGCCTATGGGGGTGTGTCAAACTTATATGATCTAGCCTGTGTAGGCTGTAGCGGGTTAGATACTAAGGGGTACACAATTCTAGGGTTTCACATTTGTATCACTTGCATTCCTTAGTCAATTCATTCTCGTTCTAAGTTTCTCATAATGAAAATACCTACACTGCTCGCAAGGGTTTTGAAAACGCTACACTGCCAATCGGGAGTAGGCAAAAACCAAACCTGAGCCCTGGTCGCGCCTATAAATTTGCCAAATGTTGTATCACAAACAACCAATGTATCGCGACTCTAGGCGACTAGGCGAAATGTACAGTTGTGCGCATTTGATTGGGTTACACAAATGACTGTACATTCCGTTTTTCAACCGCTTGGCTGGGGTGTGGTTTCGACGCAAGGGATTTTTTCCCGCACAAAATTGGCATTGCAGGCTGTCCTGGTGCATTGACATTTCGAGCCGCGTGCGAATTTTTCACTTTGTCGAGCCGGATTACAATTCGTCAGCGACGTTAGCGCGTTTCACGCCGACCAATAAAAAATACAGTAATGGTCGCGGAAAGACGACTCGCAATTGGGACACACTACAGTTTATGCTGTTTTTGTGTGTCACAAAGAGATTGAGACATTTGTGTCCCCACAGGAATGCACCCTAAGGATAAGGAATTTTCCCTAGACGTTGCATGTTTTAGCTCATGCCTTCGCTCATAAGTAGCTGTAAGGAAAATCTCTTTTTCCTTACTTCGCGTCCTTGCTCAACGCGTACATCACTGTAGCACCACAGTCAGCACCGTTACCACTCGCAATCCTCGCATCGACAATCCGCCCGCCACCTTCGCACGTCGCACCCCGACCTCACGGCTCGGCGGGTAACCCGCGCTCTGGGCCTCCGCTTCGACACTTTTCCCAACCTCAGTCCCAGGCCTGTCGCGCGACAACCACAGTCCATTACCGTTACCACTGTAGTTTCGCTATATATTCTTCGCTCATGCCTTCGCTCATTGTACTCTTGCTTCGATAGTGCAATTCTCGTTCGTTCACTCAATTGCACTCGTAACACTTGGTATTCAGAGCCTATGATCTCTTCTCGGACCGCACCCACACCTTCGCTTCCCCACTATCTCAATTTTTGGGGGGGTTAGACGTCTCTCAGCGACACAGCACCGCCGCTCGTAGTGCTCTCTTGTAAGCACGCACGGCCACAACTGAGGCTCTCGCTGAGCTCGCCCGACACCCCCGCCATGGCCGAATTCACGCTCGCCACATTGACGCAGGAGCAGCTCGACCGTCTGGTACGCCAACTCGAAGATTCGGCGCTCGAAATTGCGATGCTCACAGCGGAACGTGACTCTGCGCGTCAGCAATCAACGGTGAACACTCCAGCAACACCACATGCACCAACAAATGCACCTGCACAATCGGACGAGCCAATCGTCATCTCGTCCGAGACACCAACATAACACGACAGCGTGGGACAGCGCTCGGGCGCAGCCAGTGATAGCGCCGCCCAACCAATGCCTAGCAAGGAAGGAAACAGGGGCGCGCCAAGCCCGCGGGAGCCTCGCGAAGCCCGTCGGCACGTGGAGTTTGCGGCGACAAGTGGCGAACAGGCCATCATGGCACCAATGCCACTCAAGCCGCAACGCCCGCCCTGTTTCAACCCGAGCCAGCGTGGAGGTCCGACGGTTCAATCGTGGGTTTTCACGATGAACGTCTTCTTCGACGCAAATTACGTCGAGTCGGACGCATCAAAGATTCGGTATGCCGTTTCGCTGTTAAGGGGCCCCGCCATGGACTGGTGGCGAGTCATCGTGACGTCGCCACGCGCCTACGAGCCACCGTCGCAAGAGGAAGGGCCCACGGGTCCAGCTGTCACCTGGAGTTCATTCTGCGAGATCGCCCAATACAGCACGTGGGATTCGTGGTGCGCAGGGCTTCGGGCGCGCTTCGAGCCGATTGCGGCTTCTATTTTGGCGCGTCAGAGATTGCGCACTTGGCGGCAGCTCGGGTCGGTTCAAGATTACACGAGCGGTTTTCTCGCACTTTGCGAGCAGGTCGGCTACATGCACGAAGCGGAGCGGGTGGACCGTTACGTCGGAGGGCTGAAGCCGGATATCTCGCACGAAATCATGCT